AAAAGAAAGTCAAAGCTGTTGATTTGACACTTGTGTCTCCGCTGTCTCGGTGTGTTGACCCACTACTCTCGATGAACACAGTGTCATGAGTTACAATTACTCTCAACTTTAGTTATTTAAACATACTTTACATTTCAAAGCATTAGCACCTGAAGAGGAATGAAAAAGATGACCACAATCCAAATCTTTTTAAGTCAGTTCACTTGGCGGCCATCTTGGTTACACCCCCTGGCAGCTACTTTAAAGTTAAAGTTCTTTAAAGTTACTTTAAAGTTCTAACTAGGTAATATACACACACAAGTACCCTAAACGTCAGTGAGGTGTCACTGTTTCGTTATACTTCACCTGACCTGTAGAGGACAGCATGGAATTGTTGACGTTTAACATCCCTGACAACCTCTGTAGTTCCATTTAGCCTTGTAAGTAACTGACTTTTTCAAGACAAGTGAAAGCTTTTAAAAAAATCGCTTTTTTACTGATGTATTTTATGACATAGAATAAATAAAGAAAGAAAATATCTTGAGCTTGTTATAATAACAGACCTTACTTCAGGCATTTAACCAAAAACCCATTCAAAAACGTATTGACTTCAGGAGGATGGAACTGGAAGTGTTAAAATGCTAACTCTTTTTCTGGGTTTTTGGCCTACAAAAATATGAAACTATATAATAGGAGAAAAACAGTGTGTGAAGAGTATGTCCGGATTTACAGTATTCATAAAACAGAAGGCAAAAAGTACCCAGATGACCTACTACTTCTGGCGAGATTATTAAGTGTGAATCCAATGGGCACTTTACTATCCCATGAGGCCACGGGAAAGGATTTGTGAATGGCAGTGAAGCAACGCAACTGAAGCCGGTGGGCCACATGATAATGACAACATGACAAATGTAGTACTACATCCAGATTACATTCATACTACACACATGCATACTATATAGTAGAAGTACTTATTCAAAAGAAGTACCAACTCAGCCAGTAGGCTATTTCTGCCTATACCACCTAGTGGACACACCAATTAGTGCAGTTAATTTCAGGGAGTTTTTGCAATTATTATTATTATTATTTTTATTAATTTATTTTTACTAAAATAATTTGAAATATATATATTTATATTACCATTTTCATAACTGTAATTAAATTAAATTAAACTAAATATAATTGATTATTATTGGTTAAGCTTAAATTTTAATAACATATTTTAAATTACCAATACAATCTGCTGAAAATTGAATTATACATTTTGTTTATTTGAATCAAGCTAATGCACATGTGCATTTTAGAGCAATAAGACAAGCCTTTACCAATTAGGAGCCCTACAGCTGGCATATTGAATATTACAATACCTCCCATTCATTTTTCAAGTGCACGGTTCATCTCTTCATTCACAATAGTGGTATTGAGTGATGTTTTCAGCTTTATGGAGAAGCACATATGATAAACTGACACCTGTTGATGGGTATAGATTACTGATGTGACACAACAGCTGAGTCGACAGTGTTTCAAACTCATCTCCTTCAAGGTCGGTTTCCAATTCAAGTGGATTCAATTCAGCATTGGTCCAGGAAAATTGAGAGCCAGAATAAAGCATTACAATTTCTGTAGAGAACTGGACAGGTGTTCATTTGGATTATATTTTTACCTTAGTGAATAAAAGCATAAATGTTACAATGCATAGCTTATGTAAAACACTACTTGGATAAAACAAAAACATAATCAACCAGATGACGTTTTAATACTTTCATTTGATTGTTTTCCCTTTTCATTTGAACAGCAATTAAGCTGTCAGCAGTCTAAATTACAGAGCTGAAAAATTACTGATTGTGTGTGTGTGTTTGCAGTGTCCACTGTTAGGAGAAATTAATCAAGTGAAAAATGTGAAAAATGGAATCCAGTCACAGATGCCACATGCAGCAGCTGTTACTGTTTCCTCTTAACTAGTGCCAGCTCTGTTATTCCAAAGTGTGTGCTGTGTGCACATGTGTGAGTGTATATTTGTACACATAAAACTACAGAAGGCCAAAGGGTTATGGCTTGCCTTCAGTTATTATCATACTTTTATCACACAATTATATTTGATTTCCTGGATGAACAGAAGGTTAAAAAGAACAGCATTAATTTAAAATAGAAATCTTTTGCAAGATTATAAATGTCATTACTATCATTTTGATCGATTTAATGCATCCTTGCTGAATAAAAGTATTAATTTCTTTAAACTATTTTTTACTTGGCTATAGTTTAGGGACAAATTTGTCTGCAAAAGTAAAAGCGTGTGGATGTATGTGGATTTGAAGGAACAGCTTTCTGGACAGAGGCGTAGTTATTTCAACCTTAGTGACCCCCCTCTTGTTAAAAGGTCAAATCTCTGAATATTAATGAACTGCCTCTGTTCAAATTGACCCCTTTAAGAAGAGCCCAAAACTAGCATGCAGTCCAATCTGACGCTTCATCACCCTCCTCTGAACTCGTCTGTCCTCTAGAGGACCTTGATAAGAGACAGATGCTCACCATCACTATTGTCATCATTACTGTCAATGAAAGCTCAAGATGCTCTTTCTCTAATCATGCTGGAGAACATAATCGTCAGGTTTTATACAAACTTGTGGAGTTCATGCAGCTCAAGGTCTGCTGTCATTAAAGCAAAACAGTGGCAAACCAGATACTAAGACATTCTGACATTCTGACATTCATTTCCGTTAATCTTTTCAGTAAAATTATTATGCTATTAACAACTTGTAATGGAAAAAAGTATTAAATCATAAGATATACACAATAGTAACATTCAGACTGTTGGGTGCCACTTTATAGGCCTGCATGCGCACGCATAACCAAACACATATACGTCATTCCCAGTTTGCATGTCATTGTTACAGTCATAAATCCAAGGATTACATTGCTCAAAGCCTCAGACTAGTAAAACAGCTGTTTTGATGTTTAGATAGCGGCACTTTCGTCTGTTTGTGTGAAGCATGAATGCCACAGGATTCTCCACTAAGATCAGGACAAGTGGCTCATGAATCTCATGCGTTAGCGTGTCAGTGTACATGTGTATACATGTGATCTCCTGGTATATGAATTTGCCACTATATGTATATCCAAATAATCATGCTTATATATATATATATATATATATATATATATGATTTGCTGCTATACATATATCCATGCTTACACACACATGGTTTATTTTGCTATAGCACTGTATATTCAGCTATTTACCCCATTCCATCTGTACTGACATCTATCCTCAGGAAACCCACACCCTGCTTTCCTAAAATTAGCCTGAATATCATAAACACTGCTTTTACTAATGCTGCAGTACAATATTTAAAAAAAGTAGTTCTCCCAAAAATGTTTGGACTCTCATTCTGACGGCACCCATTCACTGCAGAGGATCCATCGGTGAACAAGTGATGTAATGCTAAGATAATATAAGATAATATATACTATAAATACTGTATATTAAAATCCAAATTTTTAATCCAAATAATTGTATGCCACTTGCTGAATTAAACATGCAATGAGGTCATGTAACAAAAGCAGTGTGATACTACACAGATGAGCACAGAATTCTGTAAGTAATAAGCTAATGTTCCTTTCTCAACATACCCTGTGACATGGAAAGACAAAGAGCAGGAAACAAAGAACATTTGTTAAGTTTGATTTTGCTCATAGCATTTTCTCCTAATTGTCTCCAGTTGTGTCCTTGTACTGGATAAGAGGAAAGAGGACAGTCATGGACCACTGCAGGGAAACACATGTTTTGTGTTGTTCAAGTAGATGTGAGTGAACTAATCTTGCCCACTAAATGCTCTGGCTGTTCTCGTGGGGAATAAAACTATTTCTAAACAGTTTAAATCAACAAGAACATCTGAAATCAAAACCACAAGTGAGTGCCAATCATAAAGATTTATATTGCAAAAGACAGGTGAAAATGACTCTGACTTCATTGTGACATCCCACAATATGACTTTATATTTTTCCAGTTCTGATTAATTCCGATTTCAAACTTTATCTCACAATAATCTGTTTGATTTTTCACTCTGAGGCATAAACAGGCCCCCACAGTATTCATACACAGTAGTTTGTGATAATCAATCTTGTATGGTACATCTGACTGTTCTAAGCTTATAATTCCTCCAATAAGTTTTTGGTAATACACTCTGTTCACTGTTCAGGTGCCCGACCTTATAAACAGTTTAATGTCTCCTCAGTCTCAAACACTAATTATGTCTTTAAAAATGATGTCTGAGTTTTGACAGTGTTTTTCACGCTAGATTTATGACACAGCCCGGCTGGCATGTCGCAGCCTGCCGGTACTTCAACATTAACCAAACTTTTTTTTTTTTGGACTGCACTTGAGACCATGTTTTGTTTTGAAGAAAGGGGAAGCAGGTGTTCTTTTTGTGTAAATGGGCGGCAGATTTTTCCCTTAGTAAAGATTTCCTCTGTTTGTGGTTGATGTTATATCCAAATGATGCTCTTTTTTGGAAACACAATGAAGACAACACCCCCTCAGCACGAATGACAAATCATTTCTCATCCATTACAATGCTTTCATGGCTATGCTGACATGAGGAACAAAACATGTCCTGGAGGTTTTAACTTTGCAGTTGTTGATTTTGGGAGAGGCAGATCGATGGGTAGGAGGTTCTACTGAAAGAAAAGGAAATCAAGTCATGTTTTTTTTTTTATTAAAAATTGTCTTTGATGTTCCAAGCTGTTTAATGGAAGTCAGCGGGTGTTGCAGTGCATCAGTCCAAAAGAAGTGAAATAAAGCGCATTGATCCATAATAAAAAGTGCCTCACACGGCTCCGGGGGGTGAACAAAGGCCTCGTGTAGCGAATCGATGCGTTTTTATAAAACGTAATAATCACTTTAATCTAGCTTGCGCCAACAGTTGTACACGGAAGCAGCTCCGGGAGGATAGGTGCGTTCACGCCATATCGGAATTCCCGTAATTACGAGATTCCAACTTGTAAAAAGCGTTCTGAACTGGGAGAGCTACGACTTGTACCACGTGACCGCTGTACCACCTGACCACCACAGGCTCTGTTTAGGCTGTTTAGGCATTGCCATAGAAAAGCTTAATTCCGAGTCCGAGGATGTGAACAGCTCTGAGTAGAACGCCA